GCAAAGAAAAGCACCCAACGTTAGTATTTGACATTTTTCTATGAGCGTCACAACAATGTTATAAGCAACCTGAGGTTATATCATAAGATATATTGTTGTTTGCGGTGAATGCTGTGGGTGAATTAGTAACACCGCTGGACGCCGTTTGAAGGTATCGCGTTTTCACACCAGTACCGATAAGTTGAGCCAATTCAAGTTGGGAAATGCATTTCAGTATCTAGAATAATAACAATGACTTTAGGGAAACGTAAAAAGATTAGCTGAGCGGAACGAGCATTTGAGCAACGAAAACGAGTGTCCAACAAGACGAACATAAACGTCTTTCTTGAGAAAAATATTCCTGGTTCATTTTCTTATAAATAATCATAACAGATGTACATTTGTGATACGATTCTCTGATGAAGGGTATGAAAAACGGTCAACAAAGCACTTGGAAAAATGAAAGGTAAAGACTGTAGCAATATCGTGAAGTTATCACTACAGACAAGATCTAGACTTTTTCTTTTGATGAAAAAAACAAACGATCATATTTTCAGTCGTAGACACCAACCATAATATATAGCAAGATGATTCTCTCTACCTCGAGCCAAGACTTCCCGATGTAATTGCCATCCGTTTGAGCGATGGTAAGAAGTGTCTTGATCGTCTCGATGTTCTTCGTTTTCATTTCATGAATATGCGTGCCACTGGTCGCAGTAAGTAAAGTGAACCTGGATAGCGCTTGTACGAAAACATCTCTTTCCAACTACAATGTGAAAAGAGTTTTTAGGAGTATCGAAAAATGAACTTAATGGTAAAGAATCTCCATTCATATTTCCTAACATCATTATAACTAACTGTCATCATTGAAAAACTTTTAAGAAAAGATTATTTCACATTCACATGCATCCTGATATATCCATATATGTACACAAACAGACAATTAATTCAAAGGTAAACAAACATCTGTTTTTATTGTATACATATGAGTATCATCTTAACCTAGAACATATAACACGCAAAGAACACGACGTGTATGTAACTACGTAAATGTATTCATAAATTTCAACAATTCAACATTCAACATATTTTTGAATATATATTTATGTCCGGGAAAGGGTCACCAGGGGATGAAAAGGTGTGCAGAGACATTAATGTCGTTATTTCATACCCAAATATATTAAAATGAACAGAATGTTGTGCGTTTATCAACTTACAGGCATGCTGAATATGCAAGATATTCGTATTGCACAGCGGATTCCATCAAGACAAAATAAAGCAACTGAAGGATCGTCGTTGTCTTGTAGATTAACGCTGAACGCGGCAAGAAACGGACTCCATGCAACTTTAAACACACAAAACAAAATGGTCAACAATGGGGATTGGGGCCGGTTGTAAGAGGCAGATTTAGCTTAAGTGGTGGATTATCTCAACAGAAAATCCATTCAAATCATTCATTGTTCAGTTAAAATATTAGATTATCAAACAGATTTACTCTTAGTCATCGCAAACATTCATTACATAAAATATAATTCTTTTCTTTAGCAAGATTAAGATGAATGTCATCATGTTTTGAAATCTACGCCCGACGTACTTGGCTCTGTCCGTATAAGTTGACATCACAATAAACACTTCGTAAACACCACAAATATTATCCTCCAGAGTCCACCCCCCCCAGTACCTTGAACATTGTCTTCACTTAACCAATCTGTGTCGACGTGACAAAATCCGTCTGAATATGACTCCCGTCTACTAAATCCTTCTACTATAGCCTCACAACCACTTGTGGAAAGAGCTACGTCAAGGGCAATGCACATTTCTTGGCCAATTGACTTTATTATATCTTCATTTGTGTACATGCTGGTGAACACAATTTCTTCGTTGATCCTTGCTTTCACTGCCTTTCCCGAAGAAAATTTCAGAGTAAACCACAAATCTAGTGCAGGATCCTCAATGCATTTAAGGGAAATTAGCTGCTCCTTTTCAAATTCTGTCACTGGTTGGTCCTTTTCATCGATGAACATATACGAACGACAATTACCAAGACCTTCTCAGACCATTCTCATCACAGTTTCTTTAAATTGCTCCAAGACACTATCACTGTTATGCGGCAACAGTTTCAGTAATGATTGGTCGTCTAGTAGCTGCATGACATGAGGCAATTGGCAAACATACCTAAAACATGAAGATGTAGAAAGATTAGGTAAGATCGTGGCCAGAGATTTGCCAGGCGGAAAGCGAATTTTCAATATGCAAACGGCAAGTTTTCCACCTCCGTGTATCGTAAACCCACTTTCACTGGTCTCTTCACCAATTTCCATAGTTTCATTCCCATTCAATACAAACACTCCTTGATCTCCTCTTTACTTCACAGAATTATCAACCTCTGCTCCAGCTATGAACACTTTCATACCGAACTAAAAGTTGTTAGAAAATTGTTCACCTTAAACAACTTCCCTTCATACATATTTGACAATCGTGTTCACCGCTTCCTCAACAATACATTTGAACCCAAAGATCTTATTCACACTGTGTTGTAAAAGTTTTATTAAATATTTATTATATCTTCTATATACTAACCTATGGAGGTTTTACACAACACTGCTGGAGTTCAATGCAAAGGCTCCTTAAATAATGAGCATACTTATTTACATTTACGTATATTTAAATTTCGTAATGAATTCTGTTCATTCACCCTAACAACAAAAAAAAATACCTAAAGATATATGTAACTAAATTTAATATAATTGTCCTAAACTAACTCAAGGTACTAGAATGACTTTAATAAATGTTAGTGATTCGTTCTGTTTTATTTTATTTTAATCATAAGTTAATCGATCTGGTGCTCTTCTTCTTTCCGAACGTCGTAATTGCGACGACTGCTGTTCAGCACTCTCATCATATGAATTTTTACCTCTCACTTCTTCCGTTGGCGTAGATATCTCTATCTTTGCGTCTTCTGTGGGACGTATTGTAGTGTCTTGAACTTCTATTGGAGGGGCAGAAGTTGTTGTACCGTCTTGAAATCCTAAGTCTCCTTGAGGTGCTAAGTATTTTGTTGATACGGTATCCTCTCTTCCATCAGCGTGTCGAATGTGAGCATATTGAGGGTTTGCTTGTATTAGATGTACTTCGTCCACTAATGGTTCAAACTTTGAATTTCGCGCTTGACGTTTTAATAGAACCTTTCCTGGTGTAGCTAACCATGAAGGGACAGACACCCCGCTTACGTTGAAAAGAAAATAATCGTTCATGAGGAGTAGCGTTTGTAGCCGTACATAACAAAGACCTAATCGAATGGAGTGCATCCAGCATCACCTCTTGCCAGTGGTTAATGGGTAGATTTTTCGATCGTAAAGCGAGGCAAACTGTTTTCCACAACGTTCCATTGAATTTTTCTACTTGGCCATTTCCTGCAGGATTATAACTTGTTGTTCTACTACTTGAAATACCCTTCTGTAAGAGAAAACTCTTTAGTTCAGCACTCATAAATCCTGACCCTCGGTCAGAATGAATGTACGTAGGCATACCAAAAACCGAGAATAATTCTGATAGACAAGCAACAATAGTCCGAGCGCTAACATCTTCACATGGGAACGCAAATGGGAATCTAGAATACTCATCTATGATAGTCAATATATATCGTTTCTTGTCCGTACTAGGCAGCGGACCTTTAAAATCTAGGTTCAGTCTTTCAAACGGCTGTGTTGCTTTTATCAGATGTGACTGTGCAGGTCGATAGTATTGGGGTTTACATTCTCGCCAGTCTCTACATGATTCGGTCATGCGCTTAATTTCTTCTATCGAAAATGGTAAATTTCGGCTTTTTACAAAGTGACTCATGCGAGATACTCCAGGATGACATAGTGCTTTATGAAGTTCGAAAAGTTTATCCAGTGTAAGCGACATAACCTTCACTCTCGATAAGGTATCCGCTGGTATATTTTCTTCTCCTGTTCTATATACTATGTCAAAATCATACATAGAAAGTTCCAATCTCCACCGCATTATTTTATCGTTCTTAATCTTACCATGACGTTTCAAATTGAACGTATAAGCTACTGACCTCTGATCCGTTACTAATTTGAAATGTTTACCTGTTAGATAATGTTTCCACCTACGAACGGCCTCCACGATAGCAGCTGCTTCCTTTTCTACTGACGAGTGTTTTAGTTCTGAACCATTTAGGGCTCTTGAGAAGAATGCTACTGGTCGTCCTTGTTGATTTAATGTCGCTGAAAGTGCAAATTCTGATGCATCGGTCTCTATTTGGAAAGGATAAGATCCATCAATTGATCCTACTACAGCATTCTCAATATCATTTTTCAGCAAATCAAACGCTTGCAACGCATCATTTGATAATGGAAAAGCTAAATTGTGAGACAAAGGTCTAATTTTAGTTGAGAAATCTTTAATCCATTGGGAGTAATATGAAAACAAACCGATGACACGCCTTTGAGCTTTTGAATCACGTGGGGCTGGCAGCTCCCGCAAAGGTTTTAGTCTCTCCGGATCTGGCTTAATCTCTCCTTGAGATACAACACTTCCGAGTATACTAATTGAAGTTACCGAAAAAACGCACTTGCTTTCATTAAATGTTAGGTTACGCTTCCTCGCTTTTTTCATAAAAAGTTCCAAATTTTTATCATGATGCTCCTGATTGTAACCGCATATAGTAATATTGTCTAAATACGCGAAAGTATCTTCTAAAGCTTCTTCGGATACGAAAGTATCCATTGATCGTTGAAAGGCCGCCGCTCCATTAGTTACACCAAATGGGATTTTACGGAACTGATAAAGTCGATGGTTAGCTTCAAAAGCCGTGTACTTTCTCTCTTTATTTTTGATAGGTACTTGATGGTATGCACTTTTAAGATCTACAGTGCTAAAGACACTATATTGGGCAACTGCGTTTACTGTATCATCTATTCTTGGCATCGGATAAGCGTCCAACTGAGTAAACTTATTAATTGTTTCAGAGTAATCGATTACTAGTCTTTTCTTTTGTCTTTCGTTCTTGGTTACAACGACTTGGGCTCTCCAGGAGAGTCACTTTCTTCAATAATCCCTTCTTCAAGCAATTTCGACACTTCCGTTGCGATGAACGCTCTGTCCTCGGCACTGTATCTTCGTGATTTTGCAGCTACCGGTCTACAATCTTCAGACAAAAATTGAAACAACGGCGGTGGCCCTATATTTATAGTTGATAAACCACATATCGTTAAAGAGGGCGATTTTCCCCCATACTCAATAATTATGCTTTCATGTTTTTCCTGCCAATTTTGTCCTAATATCACGTTCGTACATAAATTTGTTAAGACAAACAGTTTTACTTTCACATACTCTCGCTCTTTAAGTATAATATCGGCAAGACAATAGCCTTGAATTTTAGAAGAAAACGAGGATGCAGCCATTGTTACTTTCTCTTGAGTTGTATAAACGTTCAATCCCAGATTACTTGCAACTTTAGGATGTACAAAATTATGTGTACTTCCCGAATCAATTAGAGCTTCGCAAGATTTTCCATTAATCAAGACATCAATACAGGCTTTCTTTAGTGACTTTGCTACTGTATGTTTAGTTGATGCTAATGCTATATACGAGGCCTGAGGAGCGACCGATTTACATACTCTTTGGAAATGTCCTTTCTTTTTACATTTATAACAATAGGCGTCTTTAGCCGGGCATGCGGAACGATGGTGTGGTCGATTACCGCAGAAGAAACATTTCGCTGATCTAGAAGAGGCGGCAACGTACCTTTCTATGCCGTTGTTCTCTTGATGTCCGTCAGATTGATCAGTTTTATCTTGGTTTTCGAATGCCCGTTGATTAATAAACGAATTCTCCCCGTCCTTGTTTGATAGAGCAGCAGCTGTTATTGGAATTCCGTCTGCATAAGTTTCAGAAGTTCTCTGTGCTGTATCTAAGGCTCGGGCTTGATCAAAAGCTGTCTGAAGGTCTAATGTTTTATTCTCAAGAAGACGTTGGCGGATGTTAGTTGAAAGAAGACCTGCTATAAACGCGTCTCGTACAGCTTCGTCTCGATATTGATTTGATGTCACGCTACGAAAATTACAATCTTTGCTTAGCGATTTTAATTCTTGCAAATACTCATCCAGGCTCTCGCCAGATTGTTGTTTACGAGTAGCTAACTTATGTCGCGAAAATATCTCATTAGGAACCTTAACATAGAGATTTTTTAACAATTCTATAGCTTCCTCGTAGGTTGTCGCTTCACAGAAAAGTTGATAAACGTCGGCAGAAACATAATTGACTAGAACCTTTAATTTGTTCACTTCTTCGTTAGGTATAGCAGCTACAAAATTTTGGAAAGTAGCAAACCAGTGCAACCACGATCTAGCAGCGTCTTGAGCGTTAGGATTGGTGTCAAAACGTTGTGGTCTTAAGACTTTCTCCATCACAGCATAAGATGCGGAAGACACTTGATAGGATTGACTAGTGACAGCACCAAGATTCTGAGTGTTGTGTAAATTGTTGTAAAAGTTTTATTAAATATTTATTATATCTTCTATATACTAACCTAAGGAGGTTTTACACAACACTGCTGGAGTTCAATGCAAAGGCTCCTTAAATAATGGACATACTTATTTACATTTACGTATATTTAAATTTCGTAATGAATTCTGTTCACACTGCTCCTAAGAAAATCATGTACTTCTGTCTCCCTTTCACTGGCCTACACTGTCTTCAGATTCCCACTCAAATCACTCGACTTTGCAATGCTGCCTTTCCTCATATCAACGTTCGCTTTGTTTTTCGTTCTTCCAGGCGTCTCTCCTCTTTCTTTCCTTTTAAGGATAGGGTTCCCAAACTCCTGAGATTTGGTGTTGTATACTCATTTAAGTGTCGATGCTGCTCTGCATTGTATGTGGGTCAAACCACGCGTCATTTACACACCAGAATATCAGAACACTTGGTAATCTCTCCTTTAACAGGAAAGCCTTCCTTATGTCCACCACCATCTGCAGTTCTTTCTCATATAAGAAATACATCTCACCCTGCCGATTTAATAATTTCTCAATTCTCTCTTCCTCCTCCAACAATTATGACCTTATGATTCATGAATGCCTTCTTATATCCAAACTTAATCCCTCTCTTAACACCCAAGGCAACTCAATCCCCCTTCACCTTCTTTAACATACCGCCATTCTCACTTAATTCCGTCATCTAAACTTCCTACTCCCCTCACATGTAATTTAACACCCCGTAATATATACTTGTATTTAAAACCTCATGTATATAATTTATCTCAAATAATCTGAAGATGTCTTAAGTTAAAGACGAAACGTTATTAATAAATCCTTATCTATTTTATTAGTGTGATGGCTTTTTTAAAAGTCTTATGTTGGGCTATTATGTTCATATTGAAGATTAGGTAAGAGTGTCATGTGATAAAGTTATTACACATAGTAAGGCCAAGATAAATATTCCCAAAATATATTTGAAAAAATCGGCAAACTCTCTTTTCCCGCGAAGATCCCAAAGATGTCTTCCAGCCCTGCTGACTTTGATCCGCCCATTCGCGTGAGAAAAATGACAAAGAAGCTTTGTTAGTCCCTCAATGTCAAACACAGCTTCTAACTTAGTGATGTTGTCGATCTTAATGTTTTTGTAGCGAGATGCCAGACACATTGCATTATCTTCTGTGAGTTGATAAAGACCATCTAGGCAATCATTTGGTGATCGTGTGTCCCAAGTAATAGTCTTTCTCTTATGTATTTTCCCAGTCTTGTCTGTAGACGGTCCTTCGACGAGTTGCTCACTCTCATTGACTACGAGCCATCCTTCGTAGACTTGTATTCCTTGAAACGAACATTCTTCAACTTCTTCTTTTGTTAATTCTTGCCAATGTTTTGCAAGTCTTGGCAACAACTTTTCAGCTGGTTTTACAACATCTCCGTCCTTAAGTCACTTTAATTCTGTCCTCATATCCTACAAGATATCAATGACTATAGGAAACCAAGCAACAATTTTCCAGGGGGGCACGTTTAAACTCTTGACATTTGAACATTAACGAAACAACTGGCTGAAACACATCAATTATTCCACATAGATCTATGGCAAAATCTTGACTTCTGAGTTGGTGTTTTGTCTCCTCACAATCATCCTTTTTATCTTCTCGATTTGCACTGTATGCCGTAACCAAAGCGGGATAACTATTGTAAATTTTCTTCCATTGATCGAAAGCAGAACTGGAAAATCCCGTGGTTGCATATGTCACAGTTTCGAGCCCTTTTAATCCTTGACTTTTGGAATACGTCTTGTACTAGGCATGTCCTCGGCCACTTCCATATAATGTGTGCAAGTGATTAGAGCGTTTGATGATAAGCTTGATAAAATTGGAAGACAAGGAGTTTTCACGTAGCTCAACGATCGCTAGGTCTAGCCAGTGGGATGCATAACAAGCAAGAAGAAAGTATGGATCTGGTTTTCGATGCATCCCCAAAAGCTCGTATAGTTTCGTTTGAAATGTACTCGCTTGGTACTGTCCATCAGCATGAACACCTAGAAGCAATTAAAAAATGAAAGTAAGCAAAAGGAGAACGTGTTCAGTAAATTACTCACACATCGACTCAGTCAGCTCTCATAATAACATCCCACCTCGCAACAGCCTTAAACCCGAGCTAGTTAGCTGCAATGATCGTTTTTAAATTTTAATTACTTGTACGGCAAGATCTTCTCCATAACCTCCTCTAATAGTGTCTTCGTCATCGGAATCTGCATCTCTGTACTCGTACACTAGTGGAGCATCAATTGGCATCGCAGTGCGTTTACCATTCACCGGTAAAAAAATCATTATGGCCTGATACGTGTCTTTGTGAGGAGTAGATTTGTCTATTGCAACTGAAAAGTGGGGCAATCTAGTATCTACCAAAGGTTTTTGTAGTTACGATATAGTTTGCTTAATGACGTGGATATATGCAGCCTTTATGATATGTGGAAACTGCTTTATATAATGTTGGAAGATAGACAGATGAGATTAATGACAAAATACCTGCGATTAAAAAAAAACCCCTTAAAATCAAACCTTCCATGTCCGATAGTCCCAACGTCTACTCCACAAAAGGAAAGGAATGCTACCAATGACTCGTACGATAAAGGCGCAGTCTTGATCTTACATATTTCTATTCCTGCAGACACCAGCTTAACGTTAGTGTCAATGTTTCTTTCCTTTCGTTGTTTCTGACTCAAATGATACTGTAAGGCTTTCATATGGAATTGACCAGCATTTCGCGTTGAACTACAGTTGACATGTTCGAGGATTCTGTTCTTTAAACTGTACCATTCTTGGTTGGATCCTTGTGAGTACTTTTCAGTCCGAGCAACATCATAGATCAGACCAAGGCCCCAGGAGTTGTTCTGACCATTCCTAAAAGTTAAGGAAACGTGTTAATCAGATTACATCTATACACTCTGTATTCTACAATTAGCAACCACTTGCATTTTTGAAAGAGGATTTCCTTTGATATATTCGTGGCAAGGAACACAGGTTACGCGTCATTCATCTGTCAGAATATCGACTTGTATTTGTTCGCAATTGGACAATTCCACCAAATTGCTGGCAGCCTTCACACCAGCATCGCTAACAGCTTCTATCTCGGTTGTTATGGGATTTTGGCTTGATCTTCTTCTAACATCACCATCCATGTTTAATGCCTGTAATCTGACTAGAATTTGGTTGATACCATCCTCAATTCTAGCAATAGGATTGTCTGATACGTCATCAATCTCTTGCAATCCTTGTTCGTCAAAAAAATCTGCTACCGTGGATTGTATTTTCCCTGCTGTGTTGCTATCCTTAGTTACCAATACATTTGGAAATATAACATTCGTATTTCCAGTCTAAGAAGTATTGGTCTGAGTGCTGTCATCCTCATTCGCATATACCTCATAACCAGAAAAAATGGACGTGATCGTTGACGTGCATGACGATGTCAGATCTGTATTGACTGTATTAACAGTCTCTTCATTTGCAATCTGCTCTTCCCTTTGTTGAATCTTTTTTTGTTTTAACAATGCTTGAGCCTTCACATGATTTATTGTCACAATGACTGACATATAATTTCCTTTCTCTCCACTATGTTTTCTTGCCCAATGCCTTTGTTTGTACGACTTGGATCCTCTTGCCAACTCTTGTGAACAAAGCAAACATATGTGTGGATCACATTGATCCTTTTTCACCTTCTTCTCCTGTGGAGCATTGGCATTCAGAGATGGTGATGGTCGTTTTCGTCTAAATATGGCACTCCATTTTTCCTAAATGAAGATATTTAGTATTTCTTTAGAATGATCTTAGAAATCATTCTAAGCAATTTGAAAAATGATGAAAGGACATTGCTCACCTCAGCTGATTGTTGCGATTTTACATTGACAAGTTCGTTTGTATCATCTTCCTCAATTTCAAAAGTCATTTTCAGAGCACGTTAAAAAGCAGAAGAGGACCGAAATGTGGTTTTAAAAAGCGTGAATGCCTCTTGCTTTTTATACAGTTATTTATTGATAACGTGATTACAAGTTGTCCGTTAGACAACCTAATCCCAAGTCCAAATGTGCAAAGTGCCAACCATGTGCTTATCATATCAAAATAAACCCACCAATAAAATAAGTCTAACAGTAACTTAATACTACTTTCTACAGTGGTGACACCGACTTTATAAAATTATAGCCAGTGGCGACGCCAGTGGTCATGCAGGTCATGCAAAAATGCATGACTAAATGTTTTCCCAAAAATGTTTAAAATTGAACGTAAAATTGTTTGAAAAATAATTTCACATTAAGTTTTAAACATCTATACGCATATACTTTTTATTTTTTAGACGAAATAATATTAATCTAAGGCTTGTTTCCAAACGTCGAACTTTACATGCGCCGAACGCATTTCAGGCAAAAAAAATGAGACAAATTCCTCATTATCTTTTGTTTTTAATGCATTCGGCATTTGTCGTTTGAAACGGGCCTAACACCACATTCTAACAACGCATTCATATTTCATAGCGCGTGGATCTTGTAATGAATACTATAAATATTGCTCTGTAAAATAACAAAATCACTTATATCAGTTCGTTCATTTAAGCAAATGACATTTTTATAAACAGTAACTTCCGATATTTTATAGCAACAAAGGCTTACAAAGCAAGATTCAGTCTCTTGCAATATCACACACTGTATCATCAATATTCCTTAAATTACTATTTATCCTTTCAAAGATTTTGCAACGTACAACATGTTTGACACAACAAAACACTGAAAACAGCCTGTGTACACCGAGATTAGCGATACTTCGTATATTAATTTAATATTATTATGCTTTGATCGTCATATGCGCACCAGTGCACCATAAAATTTAGTTCATCTCTTGAAGCTTCATCACGTAAGCTGCCTTGATCCACCGCGAGACCACAAAGGGTAAAAAAGATAACTAAGGGATAACTTAGATCCTGAGAGGTTAACTATAATTGTCGAACAACTAGTTACGATTAAGAACATTAACGTGTGTATAAGAAAATAATGGAGTACCTTCGATAAATAGGGGATACAGACGATAGAAAGATGGAATCTTGATGGAGACAAAAATCGTCAGTGTAGCCGAAATCAAAAGAGGGGTACAATGGATCATAAAGCGATAACTTATCGAAATGTATAACAATATTAAGTTTATATTCGCTACATGCGAGTTTCTTCAGTTTTATAAAGATGTTAAAACTCACCAAAATTATCATCCACCTGAGAATCAGGTTTAAAGCAAAGATCTCTGCTCCATTCTACCATACATTTAAGAATAGAAACGAGACATTCCAGACCTTTGATACGAATACTGCTTTTTTGAACCTGGAAAAATCATATAAAAATAAGACGACATTGATACTATTCATATAAAAACGTGATAAAAAGATGTATTATAATCAACATTTTCAGCACAAAATATTAGAGACATGTTCTAGTCTTTTTCATGTTGATAGACTATGCTCCAGTTTTTTCATGTTGATAGACAATGTCCCAGTCTTTTTCATAATAATAGACTACGTTCCAGTCCTTTTCGAGTGGCATAGATATGAACAACAGAATGTAGAGAAGTAAACATTATGAAACATATTCATCAACTTACTGGTGTCGCTCCTACTTCAATAGCTTGACGTCCTTGGGCAACTTTAGACAAATCATTGATCAATCTTTGAAAGATATTCGACTAAGTCAATTCACAGTCGTAATTTAAATATATATCAACGACCGTCTGTGTGTCTGCAATAAAGTACACGAATGGACATTAATGGCTAATATGAAAGGATATTAATGGACGACAGGAAGATAAAATCAAAATTTAGTTGTTGGTATATTGATAATTAGTAAGGAAAAGGCTACACCTCACCTCTTCCCCCACGAAGAAAATTTGAACAAGAGGATTGTGAAGACTGAATATAGGATGGGATTTGGAAATAAAAGATGCTTAATTTTTGTACAGGGTTAAGCAAACGGAAGAGACATTTGGTAGAACTGGAGACAATGTCAGTGCAAGCTTTACACCGAAAGTTGACGGTTTGCACCAGCTAGAGAGTTCTCACAACAGTCTCAAGGTTTGCATAAGCCAGTACAAACACAAAAAACATCTTTTAGTTCTTTTGTAAATAATAGTAATGCGAAACAGACAGCTTCAAGAAAAAAGTTTAAAAATTTTCTCTAACATGTATTCATGATTCATTTGCAAATTATCTTTGATTGATATAATCGATGTAGCTCAGATACGCACGTTTGTAAAGGCTAATGCAAACACAGTTTAAGTTTTTATTAAATAAATAGTGATGTCGGATGAATAGCTTTAGAACATTGAGTTTTGATGTCGTTAAACATTCACGGTACATTAAAAAAACACAATTGATTTTATTAAACTTTCTGATGATCTGTGAAAGACACTCAATGAAAACAAAAGGTTTCTAAAGAAATAAATGATCATAAAGTTCAGAAATTTTCATAGCGTGACTAAACTTGAGAACTGACTACGCTACTTAACACAATCGCTTTTATAGAAAATTGATCGATGGTATTTCAAATATTAGTTGTTTATATAAATACCTTGGTAGAAGCTTTCAAACTTTGGAGGTAATTGTCTTCTTCGGCATAAGAGAAAACTTCAAGCAAAGTACAAACGATTAAATATGGTTTATTACCTTGAAACAAGAAGGAAAAGTTTCTCCCTCAAATAAAAATGAAAATAACAAACTAGAAACAGGAAACATTGAGTTGACGTACTTCATGTAAGAAAAGATATAATATGTTTTAACAAAGGCTCCTTTGATGAGGTAAGGCTTCTCTGCACTAGGTTAAATTAATTTCTCACTTGGCATTTTCCATTTTTTGTTGAGTACTTTCAGTAATATATTTTAGTTAAGTTGTAAATGTTACAAACGTCGGTATCTTTGGTTAAAATGGTTGAACGAGCATGTTGATTCAGTTTCAAATAAAGTCGTAGTTTAAAACTTTTCTTTGCCAACCTGACTCCTGTTACTTGGTGTCTCTTGTTTTTTTGTTGATCGCATAAGTTTTTATGTTTCGTGCAAATTATTTAGCAACATTTTTTCTTTTAGAAATTCAATGAACGATTTTTAAAATAGACTATTGTGTTGTAATTTTTCTTTAGAAACTAAAATATTTTAGTATGCATTTCAAAAAAATAACGAGTGAAAACCAACTATTTACTTGCAGATTTTGGCCTCTTATATCGACAACAAAAAATTGAAAGATTTAATCACAAAATCCAAGTTTAAACATGATTTTTTTTTATTTATCTTCAAATTGTAAAAATAGACCACCGTGATCCTTCATAATTTTGACATTCTTTCAATTCTATGTAGTGAACGTTAAATATATAATAAAAATAACCAAATTATCTAACCATACATTTGTATTAAAAAGTAAACCATCAACATAAAGTTCGTTCAGAGATCAAAGGTTTCTCACTTTTGGTAATTTTCACATGTAAAACAAGCGACCATCCTTACGACAATCAACATCTTCGTGTGATATTCTCAATTTCATCACAACTTTGACAATGTTACAGTGTTGAATTCTCCAAATATAAATTTGAAAGTTGACGGGAATCATAGGATGAAAAAGATCTTTACTTGACATTATAAAAAACTAATCTCTTTCTCTGTCCGTGATATTTTTACATAATTAAAAACTGACAGCTTTTCTACGGTTAAAACAAAGGATATGGACAATTTTTTCTATAATAGTTTTGAGTTCGTTGTTGATACCATAAATAACTGTCCTTTTGTGATATAAAGAACTTTTTATGTTCGTTTTAAGTGATATGTAATGTTAGTAAATACGATAGGTTAATATAACTACAAAGGTTGAGTTAGTGGTTTCATTCAGGTACATTGAGTTTTAAAAATTTAATTCCGTACCCACCTTTTGTTACTAAAGCTAAAGTTCCTGTGTTGTAATGTACAGTCCTATTAAATACAGAACCTAATGAGTAAAATTCAGCACATCTTTTACCACTGTTTAAATCTACAGCAACCAATGTGTCATGATATTCACAAATGAAAAATGATTTATGCAGGATTGTGCTTGACCATAAGAATACATCGATACTATGCGAAATCGTACTCACGTCATTGTTTTTATGCATATTAATTACATAAATGTCAGTTCTCTCGTCGAAATTGCCCAAAGCCAATGCAACAACTGCTTGGTTACTATCACTTATAAAGCAACTGACTTTACGACAAGTTATAGTTATCCGTTCCTGAGCAAATTTTTCAATAATAGACGTTATGGGTTTTATTTCTGCAGTATGCCAAGGTTTCAAGTAAAGTTCATTGTTGTTATTTACCCATTTCCATAATGTGTATTTTGTTTTGTTTACAGTTAAAATAACAGAATTATCAGGTGATACAGCTGCTGCTTTAAAGTTTGAACTATCGACAGGAAGTCTTTTGTTGTATTGTATCTCACCCTTGGTAATTCTAACAACTTGAACAAACTTTTCTTTGTTAATACAAACTAAGACATCACCAAATGTTAAGATTTCTTCAGGTTTAAATCCAATGTTAACATGCTTTGCTTGAGTAGAATCTACAAAATTTTTAGACAAAGGTGATATCTTCATAAGATGATGAGAACCATCCCATACCCACAGTAAACCATCTGACCACCAACATCCAAATGCATTCTTCAGTTGCATTGGTACAGTTTGAATAATAGTGCAACGTTCAATGCTCCAAATATGAATGTTGACGTGGTCACCAACAACGAAAGCAGCCAAAAGAGATCCATCCGGTGAAAAACAACAACATTTAATTTCAAATTTCTTAAAGATAAATGAAGGTCTCCAAAGATGATCAGTTTTGAAAATTCCAAGCTTGGAAAAATACGGCACAACGTAAAATTCCTTGAACGAGAAGGGATAGACTTTGTTAAGAGTCCTATTAACACATGGACACCTAACATCTGGTAAACAAAACTCGATTTCTCCTTGATCGTTGTATTTTCTCAACTGAGTGATTTCAGAAAGCTTTACAATCTGGCTTGTATGATAAAAAATACAATCACGATAATTGTGTGTTATCATTAAATGTAAACATAATGAATATTTGTTTTTACGTGAAAAAATATCGATTGACTTTGGGAATTGAAAAACATACAAAGTCTCGACGAATTCTGCAACAAAGTACTCTGAATATTTATCGGTGCATTGTAGTTTTTGGTAATCAACAACGCAGCGTCGATCGATTCTTTGCATAGTTAATGAATTCCATGCAGTGAACACTTCTTTAGAAAGTTTATAGCAATCTTTTACATATTCTGCTGTAATAAACAAACCAGAATCTAAGAAAGAGCAACGATTAACGACATCATCTGACTGTAAACATAATAACAAACGTCCATTGTTAACGTCCCACAACTTTACTTCAGTAGATCCATCACTAGTTACCAGTCTAGTTCCGGTAGGTGAAAAGGAGCAACAACAGATGTTTCCACGAACAAAACGAAATTCTATTAATGTTGGATAATCATAGATGTTATGCTGGGACATAATTTTCACTACATCATCCCACTTATCCAACCTTGAATCATCGAGTGTAGTGCCTACAGTGCATCTTTCTGTAAATTCAGGAAGCTCAAAAATAGATATTTGACCATTTTCATATCCTACAGCAAGAAGTTCTTCATTGGACGACACACAAAGAGATGTAACGTTAGCAAGCAAGGGGACAGTCAAATGATGATGGTTTGTTAAATATGTTGAGTCTAAATCCTCAAACCAAACAAACTTTCCTTGTCTCAATAAATCCCTTGCCAATAATCTTTTTTCGTTACTGCCATGAATTCTGTTTGCAATAATTTGTAAATAAGTTAAGCTTTTATCATTTACAGTTGAGCTATATCTTATTGTCGTAAACAAATGAATTAGTTGTTCCTCAAGTACATCTATTCTCAAGAAAGTTTGTAGTTCTTTAATGATTTCAGACAATTCAGACTCAATGGTATTCACGTCAATGCCTTCCACAACCATTAACCTCGCACAAACTACTTTGACATCTGCTGCCCAACTAAAGTCAACATTTTCGCCACATTTTGACATATGATAGATTCCATTCTTCAAAGCATATTTAATCATAGCAGTGTTCATCTGATCTTCAAAAATGTTCATCTTCTTAAGTTGTTCAAACTCTTTCTCACAAGCATGCCATAAAAACTTATGACCATTTTTTGGATTAACTGTAAACTCATGCTGTTCATAACCATCTGATTTCAACCAATCAATTAGAGACTTGTGATACACGGTTAAACAATCATCGTAAACTGGCAAAATTTGAGATAACGGTTCAATGATGTCACCAGAAAAACCTAAATATCTAAACAGTAAAGTTAATGGTAAAAACTCCCGACAGGCAGCCAAGAATTCAAGAAATTGCATGAAAGAAGTTTCTGAGATAACAGAATTTCTGGGACTTTCTTTCGTTAACAATTCTTTTACTCTTTTGAATTGCTTTGTGTAAACACCGCTTAACCCACTAGGGACCAATTGTTGAATGTTTTGGTAAGTAAGCTCAATATTTTCTTCTTTCAAGCTCAGTTGCGCGTAATAAGCATAAAGAAATGATCCCTCACATTTTCAACTAATGATCATAGAACAAAGGGATCTTCCGGCACCCAATCATTCGACTGTCTCAAAAATAGGCCCTTCAATTTCTTAACTATTGACAGGGAAGCACCATCACTATTTTTTTTGGCCGGATGACTCAACTGATGTCTCAAATAATTGTACAGGTCTTCTTCGTTGTTTTCATCACGAGGATGAGTTGTAATTTCCACAGGATTCATATCTTTCAACTCCTTTTGAACAGGAAGTTCTGGACGACTGGTGATGAAGATTTTAATCCATTTAGGTAGTCGGTCAAACTCTTCTGCAATCAATTCCAACAGTTCACTTTTGCCATCAACTTGGCTTTCATCTAAGGCATCAATAACCAAAAGCATTGGTTCATGATCTTTCAATGAATACAATGGATTATTTAATAAAACAATGAATTCATCGGTGATCGATTCTTTGGAATGGTTTCTCTGTAATTCTTCATTCAGTTTACTTTTAAATTTTGATATTGTATCACACATGTTACTAGCCAATGATTCTATCAATATTTGAGGATTTCTATAATCTGATCTATTATATCTGCAGAAATGACAAGCAGCAAGTTTCTTTTTTTCAGAATATCGTCGACACAACTCAGCAGCAAACACACTTTTACCAACGCCAGGACCGGCAATCAAAATCATGACATTAGAAGCATCTTCACTTCTATCGTTAAACCAAGTGTCGAGTTTTTCAAATAACCATTGTCTAGTGCCTTCAAGGTATTTCTTGTTAAGATCTTTTATAAGACCTTTAAAATTACACTTTCCAAGCTTTTCGACAACTAAATATGTTTTGTCCTGTAACATTTTTTTTACTCCTGCTAAACCAGCTTTTGTTTTCTTTACATCCTCATTTAAGTCCGTAACTTTGGTTGCTATCTCTTGTTTCATCTCTACAACATTTCTTTCTATTACTTTCACATTTTCTTTGATTTTTTCAGTGACATCGATAAATTGCTCTTCTTTTTTATACCATTCTTTTAACATTTCAGTGTAATTTTCCTCATCGGTACTGAGGGGAGCTTTCTTTAATTCATCTATTTCAATTTGTTGAATACCCAAACCAACCAAAGCTTTTGAAATTTCTTGCCACAAGTACTCAAACTCACTGTCATTTACACTAGTTGTAGTTATGTGACCATACACTTTGTTTCGATAAAACTTTATTGTAGCAATGTTTGCTGAGATTGAGGTTTCTGAAGAGGAAGGAAGATTATTCCATCCACCATGTGGCGCTGTTAGACCACATATGTTACGCAATAAGACAGTCAATAATGAAATATCAAAGTTTCCAATTTCGGGTGTTTTATTTGAAGGGTAAAGAAGGTCCCATTGCTCTTTGTTGATGACTTTTTTCTTTTTTAATGATTCCAATTTCTTTCTGTTAAAAGCATCATTAAGTTTATCTTTTAAGTTTGATGATTGAAGGCCTATAATGACTTGCAATCTTATTTTTAAGGCTTGGGTTCCTTTATTGATTAAAAGTTTACTCAAACGAGATCCATTTTCCTCACTCCTTAATTTGTTAGGTGGTGAAGCCATTTTTTATTCTAGAAATGAGGAATGAGTTTGTGAAAAAAGGTGCAATTTTAAATGTACAAAATGTTCACAAAAGTTAAAAGGATTAATTAAAAATAGTACTACAAGTCATTTATAAAGACATGTGTGCTTCATTTCTTTCTCTCGATAAAAATTGTGTTCACTGCCTAGTGACATGACCCAGTACTTGATATTACATCAAGGCATTAAAATAGTAGACTTGATACAATGAAAAACACTTAAAATAATAATATTTTCGCCTACTCGGTGCAAGAGGCAGCAAATACCTTGCGATAGTAACTCCTAGTTAATAAATAATATATCTTATTTGTCCAACAATTGTGTGGTGAAGAGATACGTCGTTCTTTTAACAGGATATATCAAACTGGTTTGCTGTGTTGTATGAATATTTGCTTATTAACATTTTGATAGGACTATATTGCTGATGATTCTGTTCGAATTTAAATTTTTGTTACACTGCAGTTTAGCGGACACCCGAAGCGCTTGTCACCGCGGGCTCGTTTTTGCTGGGTATTATAGGGTAGGGTTTGGGTGAGCGTCCAAGGTGTCCGCTAAGCTGCAGTAGTCCCCCATAGAAACATAGCTTGACTCTAATCATATCTCTAAATTCTTCGTCAATTTTGACAATCTGTTAAATCCAAATCGTCATCATTAGTAATTGAAATGAAAATAAAGAAAATCTCCTATATGCTTTACATTTTCCTCACCAAAACACAAAACACAGGTTGAGAGATAAAAAACGCGACATATGGGCATCTACTCGCTCCCTCGAAAGCACAACTTGCCGTTGCAGTTCCTCGGGAGCAGCCCGGAGGAAGCGGTGAGGCCAACCCCTAACTCTCATCTCCTCCTCAACTAGCTTTTCTTGGTGCCCGGGAGACTCGACATGCTTACATAACCATTTCCCATCCCCGGCACTGACAACACCGCTGTCGTCACACAGGCGGCAAACAATTTCATAGGTTTGCCAGCCAACCACGTGCGATTATGCCGCCGACCATCGAAATGCTCGGCTAGATTCATGACGCTCATAGCGCCAGTTTGACATTCCAAACACTCCATACCACTGACGCTATTTCATACACACAGTTTTATTCAACTACTGGTTTCCCTCGCGAACAAAAGAGATGTTCACCGCTCTGATTTATTATGATCACAGCTTCGATCTCTAGCCCCTGGCGTGGGTGGGATGATGAAAACTGTCACACCAAGATGATGCAACACTGTCAATGGCGCACAAAGTTTATGTCTAGCGTGAATCGCCATCCGCAACTTGACACTGTATTTTTTTCAGAGCGTCCATACGCCCCCAGCGAAATGCCCTCCTCACGCCCGCACGCACGTGCAGCGTCCAGCTGTGCTTCTATCTCTCGCGTCTGTTCGCGGAGAGCTCTCTTTATCTGGCTTCTAATGTCGTCTTTCAACGAAGCGAAGCGCTCTGCTTCGTTGTGCGCTCGAGCGAGTTCCCTCGGTATCCTCATTCCCAATTTTTGTTTAGTTTCACACCACAGCATCCTGCAAGCAAGCAAGCTGCTCCTCCTGATCACTGATAACCGAAGCAGCCGCCGTCTTCTCCCAAGTGGTCGTCCAAAATGCCATGACCATGAAACATTTATACAAGGCCTCAAGCTTTCAATATAGCAACACACTTGCTAGTGATGCGGCTCTCGTTAATGAGGAGTGCATTAATAAAGGCAGCATCGCTAGTCATCTTGCCTCTGACGCTTCCAGGCATAAAATGACGACCGTAATTTATAAGTTTGCTCTCGGGTGTTTTGGAGTAGGTGTCAAGCAAGGCCAACAAATCACCGAACTTCTGAACTGACCCCGGAACCGCATAAGCATGCTATCTAATCTCCTGCAACTTCCTCCTCGCCAGGAGAAACTGGGGATGGCCGAAGCCGACTACGGCGTTAGCGACCACCTTAAAGGGATGCCTGCTGAGAAACTGTTTGTTTACTTTATTCGAAAGCACGTGATAGTCAGCCACGATGGCAAGACGCATATCCTGATCCGCATGAGGCTCCCTGAGATTTGCTTTAAACCGTTGAGGGTTTTCCGTACACAATTGTACCAGCTGCGCACGCGGAGTGAAATAGTTGCTTTTGAGAAAGGCCTGGGGGATGTTCTGGCCCGCCAGAAAGCGGCCAAAGACGAGCAGCAGCAAGCGATTGAACTTCCCCTCTTTCCGAGTCTGGACAGAAGGCACGGTTGTAGTGAGTTGGTTTTTCAAAAGGACATCAGCGACGCTGATGAAGACGACCGTGTGAACAAAATTATGCTTGCTCAAGTTCTTTACATGTCATATACTCAACAAACGGATGAGAGATTTAATATAAACAACGCGCCCACATACATATCAGTTAAAAAATGATGATCATAGTTCATGCCTTATTAAACATTAATTTTTTATTCTTGTGAGTTTTATTACATAAAGCCATTTAAATAACGAACGAAGATGAAAAATGAGTCAGGATCTACTTCAACAAACAGTATTATGAAACATTAATGACATCTATGTCACAGTATAGGGAATATACAGTAGGTCCAATATGCAACTGGCTGCTGTATATTTAATTAGATTACTGGCTGCCGTTAGACATTTCATCATTTCTATTCGTCTAAAAAAGCAATAGACAGGCTGCCAATAACCACATGCGTAATAAGATATGCGTGGCACGAAAAATTCAATGGAGTGGCACTACTGTATGTTCTCTATACTGTGGTTAAATGTTCTTTTTCATCTCATGTGATCTTTCCTTTGAAAATATGAAAATGCAATCTCTGCCAAGAATATTGGTTAATTTATGCAAACTTTACATTTGACCAGAGATGGTACATAGTAATTCTCTCAGTAAATATTGATGTTGTGCAAAGTTTTTTCTCCCATGACCACCCCTAAAGTGAACCTTCTAAACATGTCAAGAACTTCAGAAAAGTTATTTCTTTTTGGTTTTAAAAGTTAGAACTATGTTGACATTGCAATTTTAGTGGGGTGTCGATTTTAGGATTTTCGACCCGGATTGAAGAATTGGCATATGTACCATGTTGTTTGTCGTGGTCATTTTACACCTTCAAGTTGAGATTACTTCTGGTAAACGAAGTGCATACAAACTTTTATACAAGTAGTTCTTGACAACTAACTTATTCATTACACGTTTGTAATTGATCATGTGCCGTGCATAAATTAAAAAAAATTTGTTACTTTTTCAAAACTTGACGTTACTAAGGTTACTAACATCCATCTCATTGTTGCTAATACGTAACCCTGAGTTAGCATTGGTTAGTAACAAAGTGTTGCATTACGAGTCTACGACAAAGACACACTATGTTTCACCGATACCAATTTAAAGTCTTATCTCTAACGATAGAGTCTCACGTTTTTTCAAACGTCCTTCCATATTTGCTAAATTTCAACATGCTACGGTCGTTTACTGCATAAAAACAACAGCTTCCATTACTTAAAGGACACATGCAAGCTAGAAGACAACTTTATTTTATTTTAATGCCTATAGCGTGAAAATAAGACGTACCAAGTTTCAAAGTCGTCCGCAAAATATTTCAAAAGATATTTAGGGTTATAATCGGTAAAAACACATTGACATTGAACACGATGACAATTGCTAAAATGCCGTGAGATTGTTTAAGTCTGGGAACTGGGAAAGAGTGACGTATTAGTTGACATAAACAAGCATCGTTCTTATATCGTTCTACGACTTGCATGCAGTGCTTGCACGGCTTTCGGTAGTTTGCTATTACTGTTTTTTATTTATCAAAAATTAATGCATTCTTCTGAAGAAGCCGATTATGATATTATCATCAATAACAATGAGGCACAACCTTACATGTTTGAGCCTTTGGCCAACGCGCAAGGTGGTCATAATAATGACAATTCTCCGTCATCGGAAAGCGAAGATAAATACATTCACAGAATTGGAAATGTTGAATGGTTAGTTGCATTTTATTGATGCTTCATTGTATTTCCCAAAGTAAAAACAATGTTTTTATCTTTTAGGTGTGAGTGTGGCTTTTGTGTGGTCATGAGTACAGGACGGGAAAGTATATGTTGCCAAGAGGTAAACAATACTGATCCTCTGATACATGGCGATAATTTTTGTATCACACAAGAGGAAAAGTTTGCCACAGTGTGTACAAACGAAGCTGTCGTAAAAACAGCTATGGTCGTGTACACACATGACATTGGACCTATGCCTGAGAGTGAAGAAAACGAGTGAGAGTCTAATCCAGTGTAGCTATTGCTCATCGTCGACGTGCTTTCTGTATCAGACCATACAGCGCTATCCTCAAAATGTTCAATTTCACATGACGTCGTCTGTGTGCTATGATTTTTTGTTGAAATTAACTCAACCTTTAGATAAAATTAAAATTTTTCACAAAAATCAAAACGACCGAAATGGAAAGTCTATACCTCTACTTATCATATTTGGCACTTTTGTTTGAGTGGTTCTTGACCTTACGTGTTTTTGCGGACGGATTGTTGTGGCTGCTTGGCATTTCACATTGCGCTTCTAAGGTAGGTTAAGGAATTTTCTATGAGTTAAAATAACAAAGAAATGATCAAACGACATTAGTCTGAATTAGTTACCACTGCATATGTTTGTGTTTCGCTGTCTACATATATTTTGACATCTTTATCTTAGACAAACTTCCTTTGAGGTAAAACGCACAAACATTTCGAGCCTATGTCGACACATCGTGGTCGTCGCCAACAAGAAAGTCGTCATGTTCTGCAAGAACGTCGTCAATAATCTAAAATTATAAAATTGTCCTCAATTTGGTAATGCTATTTAGCTTAGTTTTTATAAATGTAAACAAATATCGCTAACTATAACTATAATAATCACCTCTTGCCTTCGTCTCTTCTCAAATGCAGTTCTAACATTTGTTGGCTGCTTCCTTTTAGATGCTACACTTGTGGGTTCCACAGAGTATTAAAAAATCGTGGATACAGCATCCTTCTTAAGGCGAGGCCGTCCTGCTTTCCATCCTACTGATTGCATCGCTTCAAAATTTTCCACGAAGCACGAACTCTCGAAATGTTGCGAGCACAATTTTGAGCTCTTTGTTGGGTTCAAATTTTTGCGTCAGATTTTTTCAATCCAAATATCTCGTATGCGCTTGTTTTCGAGAAACGAAAAAAGAAACCTTTTGCTGCGTTTGATGGTTCTTAGAAGAACTGTTTTTATAATTAAATGCGGCACAATAAACCATATTTTCAATGCTAAATTGTCGTGTTGTTAATGCAGGCAAAGAAATTACCAATATATTTAGAACGAAGCGCGCAATTGACCGCGTTTAGCTAATGTCAACTATTACGTCACAACGACCTTTTTCCAATCGGTAGCCGTCGTTAGCTCGTCGGGCATTTTTAATACGTTGTCAGTAAAGCATCAACTTTAAACTTCCATATCTTCAAAAATATTTATCCTTTGAGTCTCAAACTTTGGTGAACTATTAGTTGGAGCTATACCTTTATGTAAAGTACAAAATAACAATCCGAATTTTATGTTGCATGTGTCTTTAATGCATTGTAACGCATTGAGTTGAAGTCTTGAAGAGACGAATTGGATAAGCATTTTTTGATTTTAATACTCGTGGTAATGACCAACGTTTGTCGTCAAAAGAATCGTGATTTAGCATCCCACACAACAGAAATCTTAGGTTGTGCGACAATGGCACTATAAATCTATAATTACCTATCAATGTGGTAATGTATAATTGATGCAAATCGTTCGTGGTGATTTAAATATTAAAATATAGTCGTTTTGATAAGTAAACAGATCATTCATGTTTATATGATGAAACGCAATTTAATATACTAAGCATAAATATATATTATCGTGTTGTCCAATAGATGTAGCGCTATTTATCTTATAGTTTCGTTTCACGTTGATTTTTCTTTTCTCAGAAGTTAGAATCATCTTATATACGGCATAATATCATCTGTGTATCTACTGAAAATGTGGATGCACAGTCAATGAATCCAAGTGGACGAGTATTCTGCCATTTAGTCAAACCTTACAATACAACGAGTAGCTAAACAATACGGCTTTAAAATCAATGTTTTACACAATTTTACTCACCAAATATGACCAAAACGACTATTTCTTCATTTCCACACTTATTATTTCGTTCCACAACGTACAGTCACAGTTTTATATTGAAATATTTCTTCAATTTTGTCTTTAATCGTATTGTAATGTACACATCATTAAAATGTAAGGAAGGGATGGGCTCATCACGAGATCATTCTAATTCACTTTCGCACTTGTAACTGGATACAGCTGAAAAGTAGACAATAATCATGTTCATTGTCCATATGTGGTTCTCACCAGATTTATGGTTTTGCAGAGACTTTACCAATAAATTACCAAAGAAGAGATCAGTTACACGAAGGCCGAATAACGCTATCCATTAAACTGAGTAGCAACGTTTTTGAGCGCTTCAAAAATATCTTAAAAAGGAAAAATCAACGATTCGAACTGGACAATAAATGAAATACAATATTGGTTCTAGAATTACAAAGTTTCATCATCATAAACAAAATATAACCATGCACATTCACAAATTTAAAAAACTACTATCCAATGGATAACGCTATCCACGCTTCGTGCAACAGGCCCCAGTATAAATTTTAGAAAAAAAATTTGAAGAGAATAAAGGCCAAAAATTGTCCAAATGGAAATAGCCAAACTGTTTTTCTGAAACTCCAGGGTCAAAGATCAAGAGATGTATTGATGTAATAGGTACTAAGCACCGATCGCCATAACAGACCTTCAATTTCTTATTGTCGTATTGTAAAGAATCTACGAAAATTTGACAAAACTTTTAAATTCAATAGATGATTAACTTCATTAAACTCCTTGAAAAATATGAGTATGTACCTCATACGGTTTTGATACATGGTTGGATACCTTTTCTGTGATGATTTTTGTAAGTAATTTATAATAACTTCATAAAATAGAAAGTTTGATAAAGGCTTTGAAAAGTAAATTAATGTCCTGTTTTTATAAAAGATCAAATTGTCTTCCTAGCATATTTCTTCTTTTATTTATAAAACAAATAGCTCTTTCCCTTTAAACAGACATCGTTCCTGCAAGTTCAATATAGTACGAGAATATTTTTTGTGAACTTTATGTTATATCTGGTGTAGGTGACGTAATATTAAAAATAATAAAAAATTAAACTAAAAATGTAAAAAACATATGTCGTTACCCTCGTTAAATTCCTCAAGGATACATCATTTCTCTCATTAAATACTTTATCAGTTTGACATCACTTTTATAAATATCTTTATAATTTGTATTTGAACGTTTACATCAGTAATTATACCAGTAAAGCAACTACAAATAGTCTCGATAATTCTGTCAATTAAACGCCTTTCTGGTTCAATGGAGTCTGGTGTATCACCAACAATATGACCATAAGCAATGAGTTTCTAAGAACAAAGAATATGAAATATAGAACTTTATATAAGATGAATACATGACCTACATAGACATATGGAGGGATAAAGGATTCTGGTAAAAAGACACATGGGAATTTCGAGGATTGGAAATGACTAATTACTGTAGATAGATAAGGATAGCAATAACGACAAATTTTTTAAAGTATGGATCCTCTAGCTTATTCTGAGAGAGGAATTTAGAAGGAAAGTAACAAAAAATGTTCTGTAGCAACTTTATTTTGTGCTATCCAATTGTAATGGCTTAGAGACAACGAAATGACAATGTTTCCGAGATTAAATCTATTTCTTACAACTAAAGACTCCAAGTGTCCTAACACATCAAACAAAACAACTTAATTGTATACAGTCAAGTGCAATGGTGACAATCCTGGCACATTTTGTTTGACAAACTTTTTCATTGATTAAATTTATTGCTAACAACTAAAGATGCCAAGTGTCTTTTCTGTTTATTACATATTAGGGAGCTTTAGCAAGAGTACGACTACGACAACGAGTACGAAGTTTGACCGTGTAAGGGAATGGCACGAGGAAGTTTGTTGTCGTTGTCGCTTCATCAAAATTTTGTTTTAATTATAAACAACAGAACGAGACTTTTTATTGTGTAAAACACCGAAGTTTGCGAAGCAGCTACGGCTCTATTTGTCAATAATGATTTCAAAGAATCGGTAATACTGATTTTGCGAGAATATAGGACTCTTTAAAATGAAAAATCTTCACTATTTTAAGTTTTATGTACGATATATTTGTACTATTTTTTGTTTGTTTACCTTTCATTTTGCGTACGAAATACATGAAAGTTTTGCAGGTCATATTTTACTTTTAAATGTACATCTGCTCCCAAAAAGGGTCCTAAATTAAAGCCTGGATGCTCGAAAATAGTACTGTAAACTAATTTCTTACAGAATGAAGAAATATATCTACTTTCTTTGCTTAAAAAGACATCGTAGTCGCCACGACGAATTTTTTACAAAACATCGTACTCAGATTGATGACGGCTACGTGTTTTTGTTGTCGCTACAATGTTTTCGCTCTAAAATGACGTAAATCAAACTCATAGTCTTTGCTAAAGCTCCTTATTCTGTATTTCAGCTAAGGACATCTCAGCCTACAATGACCGTAATTACAACTGACCTGTAATTCAGCCATAGTATCTTCATCTTCTCGCTTGCTGATGCTTGGGAAAGACGACATTGTCGATCATTTGGATAAGTTCCAATTGAACGACAAACTTAATGATCAATGAATTGAACAGCATCCTCTCCGTCTGCACAACTAAAATAATCAGATGATTTTACGACGTTAAAGTACATACATGAAAAAATTAAAAAATGTCACTCGGGTGTTGGTTTAACATTTCCGTATTCACGCTCAGACGATTTTTTCATTTGTCGGTAAAAATCGAACATTTGAATATGCCAAACGAAAGGCGAATTTATCTTATTAGAGGTCTTCTAAAATAAAATAAAATAAAATAAGCAACGAATGCCAAAAAATAAAACAAAAATGAGTTTCTTAAGTTAGTGCTATTTTTTATGAAAAATAAGTGTTAACAGGAGAAGTAGTAATAATTACTAATTAGTAACATTATTAGTTCTATTAGTAACAATTAGCAAAATTATTAGTTCAATCAGTGCTAATTAGTAACATTATTAATTCTGTTAATAACAATTAACAACATTATTGTTTCAAACATTGAAAAAAATGTAAGTTTTTAGAACATAAGCAGTTTCAGGAAATGTTACATGACGTCGCCATTTACTTCAGATTGAGTTTTTCAAACGCAAATATCAATTATACGTTTTGCTACTCCTTTCCAATAAACCAAAGTAAATTAAACACGTAAATGGCAGCAGGCTGTGACAACAAATTATTAATCGCAATTGATTTCTAACACATAGTTACCTGGTTCGTGTTCTTTGATAGGTTCAAATCGTAAACTAGGCGTACTATGTAAACTAATGCTGTCTTGTTCTTTGGTTTCTTCAACTGTTTCTTGAGGCATTTCCTCCTCCGTTTCATTCAAACCTTTTGACGATTGCTGGCCATCTTGTTCGTCCTCGTCTGAAAAATAATACGGAAAATTTTCACTGGCTACTCAAAAGAATGCAAGCTGTTGGTCCATACGAGTTAAAGATTAACACGAGCTATATTGCAATATGCGAACTTTTGCTTCATATGAGCTTTTGGTTCAAATGAGCTTTTTTAATATGCGACCTTTAGCTTACCATGAAATATTTTCCAATCTTATAATTATGGAGACAATTGAAGCAAAAATTTTCCTTTAAAAGAATTCACAAACTTTTTATTTACCTTCCGGATATTTGGGCACGATATCATCCTCCAGGTCGACAGGTGAGATTATCTACAATATACGTCAATTTTAAAGGTAATAAATACATAAAACAAACAGAATAGTTATGAAAGTTTGTCTGTAATTTTAGAGTGTCGGGATTTAAAACTTCATAAAAAATACTAAGGGGCGGATTACATGATCCCGGTAGCTGAGATTCAGCCAAGCGTTAAATCATTTTGGCAAATGGAAACGATTCAATACTTATGATCAGATAAATCTTATCAAGCAATTTCACAATATTTTGATTTAATAACTACGCAAAACATTTAAAATTAAAACAACAATTTGCCATAATTTGACAATTACAAATGGAATGACGTGTGGCGCTTCGCAAACAGTTGTAATTTTAAACCTTGACGTTTTGGCTCTTTTCAATCCCTTGAAATCATCGGGCTAGCTCGCTATCCGGGCCAGTTCGCCTCCATGTAATCAGGCCCTAAGTGTAACTTACCTTGAGTGGTGATGACGCAGGAGTGACATCAGGTGTGGGTAGACTTATTACTTGTTGGTCAGCGGGTCTCCATTTCAATAGTTCGTGAGGTATAGTTGATTCAAATATCGTCTTTACACATTGACATGTATTTTCCCAGACGTCTTTGGAGAACGCGCTGCCATTGGATATGACGAGATTTTCCAAACAATTGGTACCAGACCTCGCCAACTGCTCGTTATCTTAAGACATGTATGGAATGAACAAGCAAAGCAGGACATGGTGTTGCAAAGCATTTACAGTCGAACCTGTAAGAAACTCTGATACTTCTTGTATATTAATGTACCTCAAATCAAACCAATCACACACTCTCATACTTTAAACCAATCAAACACTCTCTTAGTTCAAAATAATCACAAACTCTCATAATTCAAACCGATCACAAACTCTCATAGTTCAAAGCAATCACTAACTCTGATAGTTCAAACCAATCACTAACTCTGATATTTCAAACCAATCACAAACTCTGACACAACGAACCAATCCCCAAGGCAAATGCCAAGCACAAACACGTTGCGTAATCTCAAGCTTACCTTATTTGACACACAACTCTAGATGGCCATACATACCATCAAGAAGAATTTCAGCAAGAATATCAAAATACTGAGTAAAAAACATCGATGATAGCATATAGCGCGCGTGATTATAAGTTGTTGTCATCCATTCTGATTTCTAAAAAGAAACATCACAAATTTCAAAACATCCTCAGCTGATGTCTCATTTTATAACGAGGAAATACAACACCTTATACACGGACTTTATAATGACTGTTGCAAAGTTTACAAATTTGTTGCCAAGTTCATAAAGATATCGAAGAAAGAATTTTAATCAAATCCTTCCAATTATAACAGAGCGATTGATTGAAAGACTTCCTTTGTAAAATTCTTCGTAAAGTTTCAATTTGGAAAAGAAGCTGCAAAGTCTGCCACAAATTTTGTTTATTTGAGAGAAAGATTTTCAAGCTGCAAGAAACTTTACATTTTCCGACAGAATTGACTCCTGCATAAACTTACCTATTTTTCTTCACTATGTATTCAAAGGGTCGGAGAAAATCCTTTTGTAATCGGAAATTTGGCAATTCGCCTTTTTCCAAGAATTAAATGAATAATTGTCGCAAAGAGTCGACACAGAAGAACGCAACTTCTTCATTAGGGTTACAACCACACTAAAATGGCACATAAATTATCTAAGATGGAGAAGTACTATAGTTGGTAGAACACTGGAGATGAAGCCATTGATTATCTTGTTTTTATACTTGAGATATGAGATATGAAAGAAACTAGAACTGTGTTTTAAAATATCATTATAGTTCACAGTTGATCTGATAGTTTAGTTGGTAGAACATTGAAGACAACGATTATCTTGTTACTATACCTGAGTACATCATAACAATGTGATGTTTTTATCCATAATATGAAGATACAATCATTAGTCGTTAATCATCACTAACCTTGTTAAAATGATCTCCCAACACAGCCCATATTCGTGACCATTGCAGCCGAATACGACCCATATTGTAATAAGCAATATCTATGATCTTCTGCAGACTAAACATACGTATCATTGTAGGATTGTAAAGCTCAACTTTCGAGACTTGACGTAAACCTCCCACGAAATCGACTTAGGAGAAAAACGAAAACATTTTGACATTTGGATACAGGAGACAACGATACTTGGGATTTGAGAACTGGGGATTTGGATACTGGGGACTTGGGAACTGGAGATTTGGATACTTGTGATAAAGAATGGTCAGTGAATTATGGTCAAGTTAAATGTATAAAAATCTTATGTAAGGTGCAGTTTAATGTATACATGCAAACCTACCGATAGCATCACCATCCAGTTTCACTGATCCCGTGAAAACTCTAAACGTAATAAAACACAATGAAGAAGTTGAGATGAAGATATTCTGCAGAGAGAACATAACGTATGGACATAGCAGTTCTTCAAAATTTTATTTTCATGTTTATGTTCAAGGTTCTCTGGTTCACTTGAGCCTGAAGATGACTACCGCTAAGGATGTCAAAACGTCAGTCAACAATAACAATAACAGTCATTCTTAGGACTCTGCTAACATGGACAATGAACATGTCTACATAGAGAATCTTCCATCGACATTTCTTGCTGTTACAAGCCCCACTCTAGCTTAAAGACAATCTCATAAAATCCTGGGAGGGCAGGGTGAATCCAGAACGCTGAATGGGAGGGGTGAATATTCATATATTTAGTCTTACTTGAATGATTTGGTTTAAAAGATATTTTAATTTGAAAAGAAATTTGTTGGTCACAGCAGAATATATGACCATATATATTAATATTCACCTCTCCCCCGGCATTAACTTTCTAGCTTCGCCCCTGAGGTGGGAGATAGGTCACAAAACACAATCCACACAGGTATCATTAAAGTAAACGTTACCTGTCAACTGCAACGACAACACTTTGTGCAGCGGTCTCCCCAATGGCTTCCTGTTAGCCAGCCGCTTTTTTCGAGTCAGCTGCAAAAGGCATCCGACCTTCATAGAAATACAAGCAAAGAAAAGCACCCAACGTTAGTATTTGACATTTTTCTATGAGCGTCACAACAATGTTATAAGCAACCTGAGGTTACATCATAAGATGTCTTGTTGTTTGCGGTGAATGCTGTGGGTGAATTAGTAACACCGCTGGACGCCGTGTGAAGGTATCGCGTTTTCACACCAGTACCGATAAGTTGAGCCAATTCAAGTTGGGAAATGCATTTCAGTATCTAGAATGAAAACAATGACTTTAGGGAAACGTAAAACGATGCGCCGAGCGGAACGAGCATTTGAGCAACGAAAACGAGTGTCCAACAAGACGAACATAAACGTTAAATACATACGTAGAAAATATCTTCAAATAAAACATATCTTGAGAAAAAAATTTCATTTTCTTATGAATATTTATTACAGATGTACATTTGTGATACGATTCTCTGATGAAGGGTATGAAATACGGTCAACAAAGCACTTGGAAAAATGAAAGTTAAAGACGGTAGCGATATCGTGAAGTTTCCACTACAGACAAGACCTAGACTTTTTCCTTTGATGAAAAAAACAATAGATCATATTTTCAGTCGTAGACACCAACCATAATATATAACAAGATGATTCTCTCTACCTCAAGCCAAAAATTCCCGATGTAATTACCATCCGTTTGAGCGATGGTAAGAAGTGTCTTGATCGTCTCTATGTTCTTCGTTTTCATTTCATGAATATGCGTGCCACTGGTCGCAGTAAGTAAAGTGAACCTGGATAGCGCTTGTACGAAAGCATCTCTTTCCAACTACAATGTGAAAAGAGTTATTAGGAGTATCAAAAAATGAGCTTAATGGTAAAGAATCTACATTCATATTCCCTAACATCATTATAACTAACTGTAATCATTGCAAAACTTTTAAGAAAAGATTATTTCACATTCACATGCATCCTGATATATCCATATATGTACACAAACAGACAATTAATTCAAAGGTAAACAAACATCTGTTTTTATTGTATACATATGAGTATCATCTAAACCTTGAACATATAACACGCAAAGAACACGACGTGTATGTAACTACGTAAATATATTTATAAATTTCAACAATTCAACATTCAACATATTTTTGAATACATATTTATGTCCGGGAAAGGATCACCAGGGGATGAAAAGGTATACAGAGACATTAATGTCGTTATTTCATACCCAAATATATTAAATGGAACAGAATGTTGTGTTTTTATCAACTTACAGGCATGCTGAATATGCAAGATATTCGTATTGCACAGCGGATTCCATCAAGACAAAATGAAGCAACAGAAGGATCGTCGTTGTCTTGTAGATTGACGCTCTACGCGGCAAGAAACGGACTCCATGCAACCTTAAACACACAAAACAAAATGGTCAACAATGGGGCCTGGGGCCGGTTGTAAGAAGCAGATTTGGCTTAAGTAGTGGATTATCTTAATAGAAAATTCAGTCAAATCATTCACTGGTCAGTTAAAATATTAGATTATCAAACAGATTTACTCTTCGTCGTCGCAAACATTCATTACATAAAATCTAAGTCTTTTCTTTAACAAGATTAAGATGAATGTCATCATGTTTTGAAATCTACGCCCTCCGTACTTGGCATTGTCCGTATAAGTTGACATCACAATTAACGCTTTGTTAATCAACACTAACATACACAACAAACATTACCCTCCAGACTCCACCCCCCCCCCCGTACCTTGAACATTGTCTTCACGTGACCAAACTGTGTCGCCGTGACAAAATCCGTCTGAATATGACTCACCTCTTCCATTTGTGTTTTGGCATTTTCCGCCATCTGCTCCATTTCCATAGAATACAACATACGACGATGTTTCTCACTTTGTAAATCTGTAAAGTGGAAGCACAATAAAAAATCTCTTTACTTTCATGAAAATGCATCGGAGCTCTCTTAAGACCAACACCGAACATCACAATATCCATTATAAGCCCCTTTCCTACACCCATCTCAAGAACAACACCTCCATCTCAAGACCTTCACCTTCATCTCAGAACTAGGACTCTACACTTCGTAGTCAAGACCTTTACCTAGCATCTGTACAATTTTTTTCAGTTAAGCCTTGATTCTCGTATTAATGTTCCAATACATACATGTAGCATCGTATCTACTGTTCAATTTTGGTGTATGTTTCATCTTGATTTCATTCTGTGCAATATCATCATAAATTGCTTCAAGATATTCAGATGGAAGATCTTTACTGTCATTTATACCACCATTCATTTGAATGTACTGCTCTTTCGTTATCTTCCGTTTAACCTGAAAGAAAATTTCACGTGATTACGATGTCGCATCTAAAGGCTAAATTTTCACGTGATTCCAATGAATGCTCCATATCAACGCCATGAAAATCTCGCGTCACCACAATGGAGTCACATGATCTTAGACATAAAGTCACTTTTATAGAAAACCATTGCAAATGAAGTAAGTCTGTGTAACCTGTGAACTATGTAGATCAGTAGTCAACATGATGATAGAATAAGCCAAAACGTAGGCAGCGTCTGCACTAGCAAACACATCGTCACTAAAATATAAATGATAAATATAAAATAAAAGTTTATCATAGACAGTATAACCTAGCTATATCTAGACATGTTTGTACATAAGTAAGGTCGTAGAAACGTCAGTCAACATCAACAACAACAGTCCTTCTCAGGACTCTACAATCCTGGACGATCTACATCTACAAACATGTAACAATACTCCCAGTTCAAACAACTCACTTTACATCTACCTAACAGCAGATTGCAGCCCTCAAAACTCGAATAATAAAAGTTCGATGAGAAAATACTTAAAAAAACCCCAAAAATCGTCAAAAACCAGTCGTAAATTATTGTTGATGTTAAATGAAGAAAAAAATTAACACATGGTTCATAGACAAAAGTCATTTCGTAAGTTTCACGAACCAGCATGCAATGCGAGATGTAAAACAACAGATAACAAGACACAAATCATGTCCTTACTTTGGGTTCGTTTCACAGAACCTACTCGCAAACTTCTCCATGAGTCGATCGATCTTTTGCGCTTCACCGGGAAGCCGGAAGTTATGTAAGAACAATCGCAGAGCTTGCACAAGATTGGTACCAGTGAAATCCAACTGATCTATATAGGCGTACATTATCTCCCGTTCATATCTAAGAAGTATAGGAAGACACGAGGAACAGTTGAGGATATGAGGCACATTTGAGGATAGGAAAATTAGTTGAGGGCATGACGAACAATTTATCTAAGTGTACTAAACATATTGTTTCCTTATTTTGAAAAGTAGCAAATCTTACTGACTTCTGTCAATATTATTCACTGGATAGAGAAATTTTGAGAATTTAAAAATTGTTTTGTGTTTTATGGACAAAATAACCAAGAGATTTGAAGATAATGCTTAGTTTCAAACAGCTTTTGTCCTTTTACATGGAGTTTAATGCAACCTTAAACATATTTTAAACATTCTTGATTTTACGATTAAATTTTCTGATTTACTATTTCATGTATCATGAGCAAACCATCCATGGGCTTCATGGCAAATTAACATAATCAACTTTTCTTGACTCAATTTATGTTGAAATAAATACTTAAGATGAGAATCAAACGTCTTAACGTGATTTTCACGTGATTGTCACGCGAGGGAGATGTGAAAACATACTTACTGTCCTGGATCACCAATCAGCTCACCAATCATAGTCTAAAACCATAAAACGCAACACTGGGTCAAAATCCAAAGCAACATTTAATGTTTCTACAAATTCCTCAAAGATAGCGTGCAAATGTGACAAAATGAAAACTTTAGTGAAAGAAGACAACATCATGTGAAATGAAACATAAGGATTGCAAGGGATATAGATGGTCTAAAATGATCATCACCTTGTCTAGTGTATCATCAGTGTGTAAGAACTGAGCGACTTCCGTTGCTGTCTCACCAAGGAGACCTTCAGATTGAAGGAATTTTATACCTTTTGATGGATTCTTGTTAAATCTTAAAGTAAATTGTAGAATTGATTAAAGTACAGAAGATAAGCAAAATTGTTGACCAAACTTACAATTGCATTCCCTTTTCTTTCGTCTCCTTCTTCTGTTTAAGACTCTCAAATTCTTCAGCATTATCGATGGCTTTTGTACTGTTAAGAGACGACTGGCTACCCCCCGTTTTTTGAGATTGTAAATTACCGGGTCCCCCCTGTTTTCATTCTCCTCAGTGCTTCCTTTTCCAGAAATTGTGGGTGCACCATCAACCAGATCTGTCAGGAAATTTATATGGAAAAGATTAAACAGAAGTATTGAGGAATAACTATGATGATTTGGAGATCAATAAGGATCGCGTGGATCATTAAGAGGTTAGCATAGATCATTAACAGATAGCCTAGATCATCAGAAGATAGTATAGATTATTGAGAGATAGACTAGAACATTGAGGGTAGCATGGGTCAATAATGAGTAACTATAAACATTAAGATATAGCCTTGATCCACCGCGAGACCAGCAAGGTAAAAAGATAACTAAGGGATAACTTAGATCCTGAGAGGTTAACTACAATTGTCGAACAACTAGTTACGATTAAGAACATTAACGTGTATAAGAAAATAATGGAGTACCTTCGATAAATAGGGATACAGAGTATAGAAAGATGGAATCTTGATGGAGACAAAAATCGTCAGTGTAGCCGATATCAAAAGAGGGGTACAATGGATCATAAAGCGATAACTTATCGAAATGTATAACAATATTAAGTTTATATTCGCTACATGCGAGTTTCTTCAGTTTCATAAAGATGTTAAAACTCACCAAAATTATCGTCCACCTGAGAATCAGGTTTAAAGTAAAGATCCCTGCTCCATTCTACCATACATTTAAGAATAGAAACGAGACATTCCAGACCTTTGATACGAATACTGCGTCTTGAACCTGGAAAATCATATAAAAATAAGACGACATTGATACTATTCATATAAAAACGTGATAAAAGATGTATTATAATCAACATTGTCAGCACAAAATATTAGAGACATGTTCTAGTCCTTTTCATATTGATAGACTATGCTCCAGTTTTTCATGTTGATAGACTATGTCCCAGTTTTTTCATAATAATAGACTACGTTCCAGTCCTTTTCGAGTGGCATAGATATGAACAAGAGAATGTAGAAGTAAACATTATGAAACATATTCATCAACTTACTGGTGTCGCTCCTAATTCAATAGCTTGACGTCCTTGGGCAACTTTAGACAAATCATTGATCAATCTTTGAAAGATATTCGACAAAGCCAATTCACAGTCGTAATTTAAATATATATCAACGACCGTCTGTGCGTCTGCAATAAAGGACACAAATGGACATTAATGGCTAATATGAATGGATATTAATGGATGACAGGAAGATAAAATCAAAAATTTAATTGTTGGTATATTGATAATTAGTAAGGAAAGGTCACACCTCACCTCTTGTACACCCACGAAGAAAATTAAACGAGAGGATTGTAAAGACTGAATATAGGATGGGATTTGGAAATAAAGATGCTTAATTGTTGTACAGGGTTAAGCAAACGGAAGTGATATTTGGTAGAACTGGAGACAATGTTAGTGTAAGCTTTACAACGAAAGTTGACAGTTTGCACCAGCTAGAGAGTTCTCACTTACGTCTCAAGGTTTATATAAGCAGGTACAAACACAAAAACATCTTTAGTTCTTTTGTAAATAATAGTAATGCGAAACAGACAACTTCAAGAAAGTTTAAAATTTTTCTAACATGTATTCATGATTCATTTGCAAATTATCTTTGATTGATATAATTCATGTAGCTCAGATACGCACGTTTGTACAGGCTAATGCAAACACAGTTTAAGTTGTTTTTCTCTGTTTAAGTTTTATTAAGTAAATAGTGATGTCGGATGAATAGCTTTAGAACATTGTTTTGATGTCGATAAACATTCACGGTGTACATTAAAAACACAATTGATTTTATTAAACTTTCTGATAATCAGTGAAAGACTCTCAATGAAAACAATAGGTTTCAAAGAAATAAATGATCATAAAGTTCTGAAATTTTCATAGCGTGACTAAACTTGAGGGACAATCGCTTTTAGAGAAAATTGATCGATGGTATTTCAAATATTAGTTGTTTTTATAAATACCTTGGTAGAAGCGTTCAAACTTTAGAGGTACTTGTCTCTTTGGCACAAGAGAAAACTTCAAGCAAAGTACTAATGATTAAATATGGTTTATTGCATTGAAACAAAAGGAAAAGTTTCTCCATCAAATAAAATGCAAATAACAAACTAGAAACAGGAAACATTGAGTAATCGTACTTCATTTAAGAAAGATATAATATCTTTTAACAAAGGCTCCTTTGATGAGGTTAGCTTCTGCACTAGGTTAAATTAATTTCTCATTTGGCATTTTCCGTTTTTGTTAAGTACTTTCAGTAATATATGTTAGTTGTTGCATGGGCTACAAACGTCGGTAACTTTGGTTAAAATGGTTGAACGAGAATACAGATTTTGTTCGAGTGGTCTCCTTTGATTTTGGTAAAACCTTTGATTCAGTTTGAAATAACGTCGCAGTTTAAAATTTTCTTTCCAATTTGACTCCTGTTACTTGGTGTCTCTTGCTTTTTTGTTGATCGCACAAGTTTTTATGCTTCATGCAATTACTTAGCGAGATTTTTCTTTGAAATTCAATGAACGCTTTTTAAAATAGATTATTATGTTGTAATTTTTCTTTAGAAACTGAAATATTTTAGTATCCATTTAAAAAAAAAATAACGAGTGAAAGCCAACTATTTACTTGCAGCACTTGGCCTCTTACATTGAGAACAAAAAATTGAAAGATTTAATCACAAAATCCTAGTTGAAACATGATTTTTTTATTTATCTTCAAATTGTAAAAATAGACCACCGTGATCCTTCATAATAGACCTTTTCAAGGTTATCGCATTGAGTTCTATAATAACTGGAGCGGCTATCTCAAGCGCGGCCTTAGATATCTGGTGACGCCAAAAAAATGGCGGATTTCGTCCGTTGCCGCTGAGATTTACCGAAATTGACCGCTTTTCCGAAAATTTCACAATTTCCCACTCCCTCCTGAGGAAAGAGTGAAGAAAATGTATGTGTGTATTTGGGATTCGGCAAGCAATTTTTTGATGAAAATCACGATAAAAACCTACAATTCGTAACAGCGAGTCAACATAGCTTTCCAGTTATCGGCTCCTACGAGGATGTATTTATAACTATCGATGAAAGAGCTATATGTCGGCTACACATCTATGAATGCAGATATGCGTCGTTTTCTTACCAGCGTCAAACTTGTTTGATCGATTAAACTCTTTAGTCTATACAAAAAGTATATCATAGTTCATCTCCACAGTGGTTCACGAGAGAGAAGTTAGCTTATTTTTATCATTGCTATTTTGCTTCTTTTACTTGTTTCTTAAAAAAGTAAATATTAAATCTCTGGATATTTACGTATTTTCTGTAATTGAGTTTCATATTAAATTTCAAAAGACTCAAGTCTGCATAGGTTTGGTAAATGAAAACAAACAATATTGTATAGAAATTACTTTAAGTAACCTTTTTGTGATGTTCTGAAGTGCAACTGCATCAAATACTTGTAAAGTTGTAGCACATTTTGATTTTGTTGTATTGATATATAAATTGGGCAAAATGCAAATAATCATCAAAACACTTATGCTTCCAATGGTGTTTATAATTCATTTTAGTTTTAATACTTCTACCCTTATTTTCACTTTGTTTTGTTTTTCCTATATTTTCAATATAAGTGCACAATTTGAATGATTAAAACAGTTTTCACTTCAATAATAAATTTCATAAGCAGTTGGTAGTGCATTTTGTTCTCTGAGTATCCACATTTGGTGTTTTCTTCATACATGAATGATGAAATGCATATGGATATGTCATAACAAGGCAATAAAACCAAATGAATTAAATACCTATAGTGTACTTTTATGCTAGAAGCTTAACAGCTTTCTAGAAATTATAAAGTTATTGGATTATATTACCTCTATATCATCAATCTCATGAAAAGAAATAAGAAGCAAAATATTTGTAGAAAAGCTTTGAAAAGTGAAAACATTTATTTAAAAAGCAGCAATGATGCATATGATAAATCCCCATTCTGTACTCTAATAGGTAAATAAGCTCAAACTGTTTCTTAAAGAAATATAAGAAATATATAAGAAATATACAGTACAGTAAATTTAAAGGTTTCATCACTGAATCTTTAATGCTTCAGTATAGTGCATTAGATATTAGTAACATTTAAACAACACTCAACTAAAATATTTTGATAAAGATATGCCATGATTTAAACATTATGTTATATAAAACCCAATGGCTTATTCAGTTTAATGCTTCACATCTGCATCAAGTCATCATCAATCTCAGTACAAATGTTTACATAGACACAAACTTTATGGCCTTTCCATTTTATATATTGTGAATTGACATTTAATTAAGCATCAAAAACACACAACCTTCTTGCCATCTTTTTTTGGTTCATGAACTTCAACTTCAAAGCATTCAAGGCATCATTAGTGAATCCATTGTCTCCATCCATAGAATTTGACCATGATCAAATTAAATAACTCTGGATAAGGCAGACAATAAATCAATTATCTTTACAGCATTATCATTTTTAAGACTCTGCCTGATCAATAACATCTTCCAGTCATCTTTACTTCTTGGTCTTCCCTGCATGTTGTCAGCAAATACAACATAACAAGCTCTGCTCCAAATCATGGGTACTGTTGGGGCTGATCATTTCTTCTTGATACTTTTCACAGAGCAAAATGTGTGCAGGGTCTTTTTGCTTTAGGGAAACTATTTTGCAAATAGATAGGTAAATTTACGATTTCATGCATTAACAAATGACAGAAAAGTATGCAGAAATTTATAGACAAAAACAGGAAAACATCAGTATATTTGGCGTTCAAGTCAGTCTTAAAAAATACGATCTTTAATATGTATTTTATGGCTTTTCAAGTGCATGTATAATTGCTTTTCAATCGTTGACGGACTAACAAAACAAACAACTACCTCACCTGTGGAAGCGATATGTACCTTTTGTGGAAACTACGACATCCAACAATTGAACGATTGAAGTGTTGGCATTATAAAAGAAATGCCAAAAGAATCGTCACAGAATATGGAACTAACGATATCCATATTCTGTGATATCGTGTTTGTTTTTTGAAAAATTCTTTATAATTTACTATAGACACCAGGGGGAGGTCGAGAATATTATTTTTCTGCAAAGCGATCATTTCAGCGGAAATACGTCCGTTGGCCGCCATTTTTTTGGCGACCTCGCCCCAGTAAAGATAGCCGCTCCAGTTATTATAGAACTCAATGGGTTATCGCAGCCATGTTGCAGGGGGTGCAAAAACATTGCGCCGAGCGCGCGGTCACGCATGGCGTCCATATAAATTACTAATAAATGCGCAAAAATTACCCTTATACAATATACATATTGGCCATTTCTTTCAAAAATATTTCTCAAACTCATCCATTTTAATAGTCAAACTATTATTTGCAATTTTTTATACACGTGAGTCCAATTTTGTGGTAATCAAAAAGCGGAAAGTTAAAGAAAACATTTGTTTTTTTTTTTTGAACAACTTGACCGTCGTTTGAGCGATGTTCTTGGGTTCGCAAATGTGCGGATCTCATAAGCCAAGTCAAACGAACTAAACCCTAAACTAGCCGAGTAGCCGTGAGCAGTCATAGCCAAAATGGTAAAAAATGCGCGTTGTGCAGTTGGATATTGCGATAATGATATAAGCTATCCCTATTACCAAGTTAAGAGGTCTCATGTAGAAAATTTAGTTTTTCATAGTGGCCCAAAGATCAAGCACTTGCTGAAATTTGGTGAAAACAATTGCAAACAGCAGAGCGGATGACTTTAACCCGAAGCCTGGTGCACAAGGTACTTTCATTTGCTCAAATTATTTTGCCTTGATAAGAAGAACCCCAAATAAAAGGGGAACGGATTATCCTTTGGTTTTTATTACGCTATCAGAGTACGAGCAATCGAGGACCCCGCTTAAACGTAAAGGAGAAGAAACATGGACAACATCAAAGTGTCCTCATCAAGCCTATGACACCGAGGATTCTGATTCAAGTTTTGATGGAAGTCCAGCAAAATCTGAGGCATCTTTACTCCCTGTCCTATAAAACCTGGATCAAGTTTTTTCATTCTCCTCTTTTGAATTTGCTCTTTTATCTTTATTTATTAGAAAAACCATAAAAGCAAATGTTTCTTACTTTCACAAGACTTAGTCTAATGACCTTAGAATTTTCCTCCTGTTTTATGTAGATGCAACATTCAGAAAAGGGGAGGACAATTTGCTTATACGACCAAATCTGGTAAACAAACTTGGTCACGCTGCATGTGGGTGTCTAGGTATACGGACATGTACAGCTTTTGGAGTGAGTGCCCTAATAGGAAGGACAGCCACAAATTTGCCTTTTTGCTTGAACGTTTTGAATGTGATGTTTTTACTCGTGTATTAATTTCCAATTCGAATAGAAATTGTACAAAATGTGTCGCTCGTGTCAAATGGTACAATATATTAATGAAGCGTTTACCAGCTTTCCAAAGCGCCGTCCTCAGCTTGCTGTTAAAATTGAAGCCTTTAGCAAACTTATACGAGTTCTCCAGCACTTCGCAAAACAAAACAGTTGGTTAGATGTAAGATGTGGAAACATTCCGTCGTGTTTTCGTTTACCGGTTCGTCGAGGAGTGTTGAGACACTGAAATAATGAAAACTAAGTCAATAATTATAATGAGACATGTACGATTATTGAAAGTAAACAACTCTGACTACAGTGTATCGTTGCTACTTATAACAATGTCAAGACATGAAATTGTATGAAAGTTCAGCTCTTGTTAAATAAACGTCAAAAACCAAGATGCAAAACTCTCAAAGAGCGCATTTGATTGGATCATGGTTGACAATCACTCTCTGGAAAAACACGGTTGTAGCTACATATGGTATTTAAATGGCTATTTTTTAAGTAAATAGTCCGACTCCAATTGTGTATATAATAGTGTAATCACCACGATAGCACTCCGGTGATCACATAGCTCAGTTCTATGATTTCTTTTGGTATTTCGCGAAGGAAAGTAAAATTCGTAAAAATTGCAATTTGTCTATTTTTACATCAATCCCGGCGATTTTGTGAATCAGTTTGACCAATCAGGTGAAAGAGGATTTACTACATCATTGTAGGTGATTTAGAGAATCAGTTTGACCAACCAGGTGAAAGAGGATTTACTACACCATTGTAGGTGATTTAGAGAATCAGTTTGACCAACCAGGTAAAAGAGGATTTACTACAACATTGTAGGTGATTTAGAGAATCAGTTTGACCAATCATGTAAAAGAGGATTTACTACAACATTGTAGGTGATTTAGAGAATCAGTTTGACCAATCAGGTAAAAGAGGATTTACTAAATCATTGTAGGTGATTTAGAGAATCAGTTTGACCAACCAGGTAAAAGAGGATTTACTACAACATTGTAGGTGATTTAGAGAATCAGTTTGACCAATCAGGTAAAAGAGGATTTACTAAATCATTGTAGGTGATTTAGAGAATCAGTTTGACCAACCAGGTAAAAGAGGATTTACTACAACATTGTAGGTGATTTAGAGAATCAGTTTGACCAATCAGGTGAAAGAGGATTTACTAAATCATTGTAGGTGATTTAGAGAATCAGTTTGACCAACCAGGTAAAAGAGGATTTACTAAATCATTGTAGGTGATTTAGAGAATCAGTTTGACCAATCAGGTGAAAGAGGATTTACTACACCGTTGTAGGTGATTTAGAGAATCAGTTTGACCAATCAAGTGAAAGATGATTTATTACACCATTGTAGGTGATTTAGAGAATCAGTTTGACCAACCAGGTGAAAGAGGATTTACTAAATCATTGTAGGTGATTTAGAGAATCAGTTTGACCAATCAAGTGAAAGATGATTTATTACACCATTGTAGGTGATTTAGAGAATCAATTTGACCAATCAGGTAAAAGAGGATTTACTACACGGTTGTAGATGATTTAGAGAATCAGTTTGACCAATCAAGTGAAAGATGATTTATTACACCATTGTAGGTGATTTAGAGAATCAGTTTGACCAATCAGGTGAAAGAGGATCTTACAAGCCTGCATACAACACATAACGAACTTTAAGGAATTCAACCCAAGGAAATCGTTTATTCTATAAAGTCTCTTGAGGATAGTTATTGAAATTTTTTACGTGTCTAAAGAAAGAGGTACCAAATGTGAACTCGATAAATAGGAGGTTCATATACTCATGTTTTTGTATTAACTTCCAGTGAAATCAATTGTTCTCTACAGATTAAGAGATGCATATATGACTTTGTGACCACCCCAGCCCTACAACCACAGAATAATAATTATAGAGAAGGGCCTCAAGTGTGCACTGCGTCTCATGGCCGCCATTATTCCAGCAAGATATATTTAGGGTTTTTCATTTGTTTCCAAACACTACAATTACATGACGTCATTACTTCGTAATGAAATTAAAAATATTTCAATATAAGAAATGACGTCGGTTCATTTTAGTGTTTGGAAACAAGTGAAAAGCCCAAAACTTATTGCTGGAATAATGCCAGTCGATATGCGCGGCACAATATGCTTGAGGATAAAAACATCAATGGTTCCGACACAAGTGACTTTTCTGTATATTACATATTCTGTACTTCAGCTAAGAACTTTGTTATGCCACCAAGGGGAACTCTGGTATAACAACATTACGACAAAGCAATTTATCTCAGTATTACCTACAATGACCGCAATTATAACTGACCTGTAATTCAGCCATAGTATCTTCATCTTCTCGCTTGCTGGTGCTTGGGAAAAGACGACATTGTCGATCATTTGGATAAGTTCCAATTGAACGACACACTTAATGATCAATGAATTGAACAGCATCCTCTCCGTCTGCACAACTAAAATAATGAGATGATTTTACGACGTTAAAGTAGATACATGAAAAATTTAAAATGACACTCGGGTGTTTGTTGAACATTTCCGTATTCACGCACAGACGATTTTTTCATTTGTCGGTAAAAATCGAACTTTGAATATGTCAAACAAAGGGCTAATTTATCTTATTAGAGGTCTTCTAAAATAAAATAAAATAAGCAACGAATGCCAAAAATAAAGCAAAACGAGTTCCTTAAGTTAGTGCCATTTTTTATGAAAAATAAGTGTTAAAAGGAGAAGTAGTAATAATTACAAATTAGTAACATTATTAGTTCTATTAGCAACAATTAACAACATTATTGTTTCAAACATTGCAAAAAATGTAAATTTTTAGAACATAAGCAGTTTCAGGAAATGTTACATGACGTCGCTGTTTACTTCAGATTGAGTTTTCAAACGCATATATCAATTATACGTTTTTCTACGCCTTTCCAATAAACCAAAATAAATAAATAAATAAATAAAATAAAAGTAAATTAAACAAATTAAATAAATTAAACACGTAAATGGCAGCAGGCTGTGACAACAAATTATTAATCTCGATTTCTAACACATAGTTACCTGGTTCGTGTTCTTCGACAGGTTCAAATCGTAAACTAGGCGTACTATGTAAACTGATGCTGTCTTGTTCTTTTGTTTCTTCAACTGTTTCTTGAGGCATTTCCTCCTCTGTTTCATTCAAACCTTTTGACGATTGCTGACCATCTTGTTCGTCCTCGTCTAAAAAATAATACGGAAAAATTTTCACTTGTTACTCAAAGAATACAAGCTGTTTGTCCATACGAGTTAAAGATTCACACGAGCTATATTGTAATATGCGAACATTTGCTTCATATGAGCTTTTGGTTCAAATGAGCTTTTTTAATATGCGAGCTTTAGCTTACCATGAAATATTTTCCAATCCTACAATCATGGAGACAATTGAAGCAACATTTTCCTTTAAAAGAATTCAAAAACTTTTTATTTACCTTCCAGATATTTGGGCACGATATCATCCTCCAGGTCAACAGGTAACATTATCTACAATATACGTCAATTTTAAAGGTAATAAATACATAAAACAAACAGAATAGTTATGAAAATTTGTCTGAAATTTTACAGTGAAATTTTAAAGAAACGATTCAATACTTATTATCAGATAAATTTTCTCAAGCAATTTCACAAAATTCTGATTTAATAACTACGCAAAACATTTAAAATTAAAACAACCAACTTGCCATAATTTGAGAATTACAACCAGAATGACGTGTGGTGCTTCGCAAACATTTGTAATTTTTAACCTTGAAGTTTTGGCTCTTTTCAATCCCTTGAAATCATCGGGGCTAGCTCGCTATCCGGGCCAGCTCGCCTCCGTATAATCAGGCCCTAAGTGTAACTTATCTTGAGTGGTGATGACGGAGGAGTGACATCAGGTGTGGGTGGACTCCACCATTTCAATAGTTCGTGAGGTACGGTTGATTCAAATATCGTTTTTACACATTGATATGTCTTTTCCCAGACGTCTTCGGAGAACGTGTTGCCAATGGATATGACGAGATTTTCCAAACAATTGGTACCAGACCTCGCTAACTGCTCGTTATCTAAAGACATGTATTGAATGAACGAGCAAAGCAGGACATCACCAATTAACGAGCAAAGCAGGACATATTGAATGAACGAGAAAGGCAGGACATGTATTGAATGAACGAACAAAGCAGGACAATCACTTGGTGATTGGTTCTGACACAACGAACCAATCACCAAGGCATATGCCAAGCACAAACACGTTGCGTAATTTCAAGCTTACCTTGTTTGACACACCACTCTAGATGGCCATACATATCATCAAGAAAAATTTCAGCAAGAATATCAAAATACTGAGTAAAAACATCGATGATAGCAGATTGAGCGTGATTACAAGTTGTTGTCATCCATTCTGATTTCTATAAAGAAACATCACAAATTTCAAAACAACCTCAGCTGATGTCTCATTTTATAACGAGGAAATACAACACCTTATACACGGACTTTATTCTATGTAAAGGAAACGACCTTCCCGTAGTTTAAAACTACTCCCTCCGGTTTTAAAGGCAAAAGCATTCTTTACAGGTGGGTAACTTTCACAAACGAGTGTTTCAAAACTTCCATACTGGTACAAATCGTTTACACAAAATGAAATCGGTGTGTGAATAGGGAATGCAAGAGGATAAGAATGGATAGAGAATGAAGTAGAGACTCTAGAATGAAAGTGGATAAAGGTGAATAAGAAATAGAGGAAGATATGAGGGGGATCATTGAACTAAAATACATGGAACGCTACATGAAGCAAATAATTGAAGCCAAATCTTACATCCAGACACACGCGTGTTTAGTGTTTTGAGTTCTCTCGCGCAGTGAAAATTGATTGAACTACACCCGCGTGTCTGGGTGTAAAATTTGGCTTCAAAAAAAATTACTACGGTTTTCTATTACAGGTAGCGTTCCATGTATTTTAGTTCAATGGAGTGGATACACAATTGAAATGGATGAGTGATTGAGGAATGAAGGTGGATAGACATGAACACATGAAATGAATATTATTCCATGTGGAACTGGATAGTCGTGTATGTAAGTTGACTTTTTTGCGATATAATGTGTGTTTATGGCAATCATAGACAATAAGACCAAAATAACGACATATTATAAATTACGCGTTTTGAAACGTGGTCGATTTCGGGAGAATAATGGACCGGAAAAATGTTTCTCAGCGAATCAAAGCGCGCCATTTAGCCGGAAGTGACGCTTGCCATATAATAAGAGCAAAATAATGACAGTTTTCTAACCTCCTGCCAATCTATCTGTCTGTCTGGTAGTTTCATGTTGTCGAAAATTCGAAACAAGACTTTAAACACATCACGCCACCAATGTTGGAGAACGTGTTCCCGTATGTTTTCATGATTTCAAACATCACGGTTAGGCCTCTAGTTGATGGATGGAAAATAGCTCACATTCAAATTATACAATGCATACTAATCTATACAGTACAAACAACTCAATATTTCCACCATACCTTGTTCTGACATCTAGTTTACATCGGTTGATGATACACGAAAGTTCAAAGGACTGGAAACCAGCCTTTCACACAGATTCTGTCCTGCTCTGATATCCCAGCATTCTCTACTCCGTAGTCTTTAAATATCTGTTTATATAAGAAAAGAAAACAGACGCCATTGAAAAATGCTACACGAAAAAGCGATTGAAATAGATAATTAGGATTTGATTTGATCCAAAGTGGTTAGCTTTGATGTGATTTTGCAAAATTTCAAATAAATTTCAAAGGTGAAAAGAAAGTAGATTTGCAATTGTCGTACTACAGGATTTTCGGAAAGAAATTTGGCGCAATTTCGTATCAGTCTTATTGCTTCCATACTCGTGTCCGGGAAACTTGCGTTGCATGCGAATTCCGAGAGACACTTGACGGCATCTTGGAAAGAGTCGATGGTCGCGGAGAAATATTTCTCAAAAATCGTGGCTGAAAGAGAGAATGGGGATGTGAAATTTATACACTGATAATCTTGTGGGATAAATGAATCTGTCAAAGCTTTGATTTACAAGTGACGTTGAAACAGTAGAGAAACAGGGCTAGAAAAGTTTAAAAACTTTGCCTTTTGACACGTAATTTGCATCAACTAAAAACTGTTTCATACATTTATTTCATTTCTCCATTAACTCTCGTTTAATTATCATTCATGAATCATGAGAAGATAATCCATCGACTTTATGGTAAATAAAAGTTTACCTTGAAAACTTATACGAATATGGCTGAATTACCATGGAAAAGAACGAACACATAAAATTCTTGTTGCAAAATAAACGAAGTTCTCCGTCACATCCGAGAAACACATTTACTTAAGCGATATTCAAATTCAATTTGAATTTAATTCAATATTTTACAGATGTCTAAGTCGTTCATGCTTGGAAACGGATTCACCATCATTTCTTCAAACATATGCAATCATTTTTATTTTAAAATTTTAAAATTTGCACCGATACAAGAACCTCACCCAAGAGAACAACAGACAGGTCGGCGGTAAGATTAGAAGAAAAATCTCCTTCCTTAAACTACAAACCTGTTGTTTGAAAAGCGAGTTCCACGATTCCTTCATCATGATCGGACGCAGCCAAATGAAAAACGGAGAAAACATTTTTCCAACCAGATTTGATGTTTGCGGCTTGCGAATGAACCATTTGTGTGACACATCGTACGACCATATCTCGAATTGTGGAAGAACTAAAATGTGAAAAATCCAGTTGTTGATTCAAGCAAATCGTAGACTGAAAATTGCAGTCCTTGTTGCCAAGTTCATAAAGATATTGAAGAAAGAATTTTAATCAAATCCTTCCAATTATAAGAGACAAGACAGAGCGATTGATCGAAAGACGTCCTTTGTAAAATTCGTCGTAAAATTATAACTTGGAAAAGAATCTACAAAGTCTGCCACAAATTTTGTTTATTTGAGAGAAAGATTTTCAAGCTGCAAGAAAATTTACATTTTCTGACAGAATTGACTCCTGCATAAACTTACCTGTTTTTCTTCATTATGTGTTCGAAGGGTCGGAGAAAATCCTTTGAAATCGGAAATTTGGCAATTCCCCTTTCCAAGAACTTCATGGATAATTGTCGCAAAGAAGAACGCAACTTCTTTATTAGAGTTACAACCACATTAAAATGACACATGAATTATCTAAGATGGAGAAGTACTATAGTTGGTAGAACATTGGAGATGAAGGCAT